CGGCAACCAAATCCTCTTCTCCGAGTCTACGAGTCAAATTTCCCACTGAGCCTGAACTCACCGCTGTGTCTTCCCCTCACTTTACAGTTCTGGTTGAGCAGTGTTCAGAGCAACACTTCTCCCTGTGTTTAACTTCTCCAATAAAACCTGTTAAACCTTTTCCCTGGACTCTCTGTTGGGTTTTCTGCATTTGGGTCTGAACTTTGTAACACCATGACACACTTTTACTAATTCTGCTTCATTCTGTTTGACTGTGAGACCATCCTGGAGGGAGACATTAGTTGGACTGCTACCATCAACACCTCCAACCATAGATGTTGCTGCATACATTCTTGGTGTGATAGAGTCATCAAACCTACAAAGTCAATGATTGGATGCAACCAGAGCAAAATATTGGATGCAATCAGCTGTTTTTCTTAAATAAACTTTTAACCCTTGGAATTAAGGTTTATTAAAAACATGTGGCCATGATATCAGTAGAATATGGAGGTCATTTCCTCATCCTGACCTGCCGCGGCTTGTCTACCAGGAAGCTTTAAAGCCAATTGCAGTAATTCCTGTCAAACCGTTAAGCTGCGGTCAAAGATCACTGCTGTCTCTCTGACTGTGTTTTATAACATATGATGGCAGTAGCTTCAGACAAAGTAACTGAGTGGCTGTGATTGAAGAGCAGAAAACACCATGTTTTCTTCATGCTGGGACAGAGTTATTTCATGCTGCTGTTGTAATGGCTTCAAGCAGGCTAAGCAGGACCACCACCAGGACATCAAAGAGATCACCATTATTGAGAACCCAGCGGTTAAGAAAGTAGAATCAGAAGTGGACTTTTCTGTAAACAGTAATCTAACATCAGCCAAAGCGGTTGTACGGCCAGATGGGGAGCGTTTTATCGCCTTGTTCGACTACACGGCCCGTACTAAGGACGATCTGACCTTTAACACCAGGGATATTCTGGAGGTTCTGGACTCCAGCACGGGGGAGTGGTGGATGGCCAGAGCCATCACTGGGATCTCTGCCGGTAAAAGCGGGTACATTCCAGCTAACTATGTGGCCCTTAAGGAGAGCATTGATGCTGAACCGTGAGTATAATCTCTTTAAAGTCGGATGGTTTTCAATTCTATAAGGTTTTGTTTTTCAAAGATGTATACCACTGATTTTCTCAACATGTGAGAGGAATTAAGCCCCCTTTCTGAGATGAAGACGCGTTTTACCAGATTATATGACAATTAACAATTGCAGAGCCAGGGGATGCTATAAGAATGTTGCTCCGAAATAAGGGACAGGCTGTGGCAAAACCAGATACAAGTCTTCTTGGGGCGATTTTTAAGTTTTACAGATCATGAAAGAGCTAAGTCTAAGCTTTTTGATGATATTAAATATATGAAAATAAAAAAAGTAATTGAAAAGATGACCATTTAAATGTTAACACCTTCCATCCTATTTTCAGGAGGAAACTTTCCTCAATTGTCTTATTACAATTAACCTAGAACCTGCTGTGATTTAGACACCAGAGTTGTTAAATTTAACGCCTTTGCATAACATTAATTCAATTAAGTTTATTTCTATAGCGCCAATTCACAACACGTCATCTCAAGGCTATTAACAGTTCACCAGATCATCCAGCTTTCTATCTAAGGAAAACCAGTTAATTGCGTTAATTGCATCGACTCATTGACTCAAATGCAATCCCTCACACTAATCATGCTTGTAGCGACAGTGGAGAGGAAAAACCAGGCTCAGTGTGAAGGTCTGTAACACAGAGATATAATCAGTTCTCAGGTGAATAAATGCGCTATTATTAAATTTCATAATAACATTATAACAACGTAGATTTGGTCAGCTGGCATGAACCTGAGTCACTGTGTTTATGTCACTATCAAAGCATGTGAACGGAGCGCAGTGCCACGCAGTTCGCGCTCCCCACTCAGGAGGATGTTTGCTCATTCGCTCCGCCGCTCCAAGTTGCGCCAGGACACTTCGCTCAAAATCCCCTCAAAATCTCGCCACTCCGGCGAAATCGCTCCACACTCACTCAAATTTTCAGGAGAAGGCATTCTCTAACGTTATTCCGTCCTGTAATGTGTGAGTGTGAATGGTTGATTGTCCTGTTTTTCTCTGTGTTGCCCTGCAATGGACTGGCAACCTGTCCAGGGTGAACCCTGCCTCTCACCTGTAGAGAGCTGGAGATAGACACCAGCACTGATTGTGACCCCACTTGGAATTAAGCGTATAAGAAGATGGATGGATGGATGGATGGATGGATGGATGGATGGATGGAAGCTCATTGTGACACACTGCTGCAGGAGTATAACCAGGCCTTAAATTATTTTATTATTATTATTTTTTTTTATATATACTTTTAACTTTTAAATGTACTGATATCCACTTTGTTCATTTGGAACAAACACGCATTTAAAGGAAAAGTCTGGTGAACAAAGAATAATCAATGGATCATTATTTATAACTAAAGCTAATATCTTTGGGGTGATTTAATGAATTTTGTGGTAATCAGTAAAAAAAATAAAAACAATAATTTTCGTTGCAATTACTGAGTTTGAGAGCGGCCATATTGCCCAAATATAGTAACCCCTCCCTCCTGCCATCTTCCAGCAGTGACGTCACGGTGCGGTAAGCCTAGCGCCATTCTC